CTCTCTCTCTCTCTCTCTCTCTCTCTCTCTCTCTCTCTCTCTCTCTCTCTCTCTCTCTCTCTCTCTCTCTCTCTCTCTCTCTCTCTCTCTCTCTCTCTCTGTTAGGGTGCTCTCGGTTTCTGTTCTTTTTCGGCACGGGCGCCTACGGTTTTTATCTATTATTAAAGGCGAGGCGCGGCTGTACGCACGGCTGTGCTTCGGCATGCCACCCGTTTTGTCTCTGCCGACTTGCCGATCAAACAACGAAACAAAATTCCACGAACAAAATTCCACAATCAAACCTGTTTGAGCGGATTTCCTCTTCACCGTATTGCATTTATTCAAACAACGATGATTGATAAAACTTTTATGTCTCATCGATCTTCCGCGAATGATTATCCATAATATGTCACGTTCGCATTAAAAGTATGACCAGATGTGCGCGTTCAGTGAAATTGTATGAGGCCTTTGGTGCAATTATCTATACCGTAAAAAGATTGAAAGACCGTGTGCGAATCGTGATTCATGATTCATTCTAAATAGATTCGCGATGATTTATTTACATCATTCACTTTTGCATGTCTAACAACGTACGAAAAGAATAATGAGCTTTCCGTGATGTACGACGATTATCGTAACAGCTCCTATTTAGGATCCTCATTTATATAATAGATGGATAGATGAACTATAATCTCTGTGACAGATTAACGCCTGTTATAAACCTTTTATTATGAATATCCCACGTATATGATAAGAATTTTTAGCCTTCGGCCTTTGGTACTCAGTAGCAATCTTTGATGTGTCGATCGCGCATTGACATTTCCGGTGACCGATGGTCCATCACTTGGAGATATTGGCGACGTCACAAGATGAAATGTCATCCGGTCGTAGGAGCGATTGAAAAGCCGCGATTGAAGGACAGCTGTGAGGATGTTGTCAAGCGTATCGGCACTCGTACTTGTTGGACGGTGCGAGGTCAGGTCGAGGACACTTGCTATTCGTGAGAATACTCGCCCCACGTGTAGGCGCGGCCATCCTATCTGTGAGAATACGCGGCCATCCCCGAGCAACCCCGATCAACATCTTCAGGGACGTAACTTTCCGTTCACCGTCCAGTAGTTTAATTTAAATCGTTGTGTATCGCGTAACTATCGCTTTCCGCGATTAATCTTTTAATTGTCTTCGATTCCGATCCTTTCGACAGCTGAAACATTTGTTGTAAAAACAATGATCAATTGTTCGGGTATTTTTTTCAATGTCGAGCAAAATTTAACAGTGACGAGACCTCTTGGTCTACTGAAAAACGATCAAAGACATTTCTCATAGCACTCGATCTTTGTTTCCCGTTTCCCAGAAAGTTTCCGAAAAGAACACTGTAACAGCCAATGTTTCATAACGGACGCTGGAAACGGTACTGAGAGATCGAAAAACAACCGCGATCTGGCATGTGTGGCACTAAGATGATTGGCGCATGCGTCTGTTAATCAATAAGAGACACCCCTTGTGTCCAACCATCAGATCCGACTTGGAAACATCGTTGGCGATACGGCGCGGAAATACTTCCGGAATGAAAAAATTATTATTTATTCAATTCAATTATTATCCCTCGAGTTGATCCTATTCCTTTCCAGCTTGCTCATCGATTTAAATAATTACGAATCAAGATTACTTGATTTTTTCCGGCGTAAGCTATCAAGCGGTAGCACATTTCTTAGTGAAACTTCAGCATACCCACGAGAAGGGAGAAATCTGTAAACACAAAGTTTGAAGTTAAACCACAAAAGATGGAAATTGCCATAAAGAGATTCATGTTGATATCCTGATAAGAGTATTGAGAGTGATGATTTTATGCACGCGTATAACAAGTGACATCCTTAAGAGAGAAAGATAGCGATGGAAAAGATTATAATACATTACAATGAAAGACAGACCGAGATTTAACATTCTTTATCTCCTTTAATCGAAAAATTCGAAAATTCGAAAAATAAATATTTCTAAATATCAGGTGTCGTATCATATTGTACCTTTTCATCATCGGCGCAATATGATCGGGATCTACGTTCTCGAGATCCATGCCAAAAACGTAACTCGCGATAGTGCCGATGACAACAACGATCATTGCTCCTATCAAAGTATAATATACGAAGGATATTTGAAACAGTATCATAGGCTCTTCGCCAGAGTCCATCCAAGTAGGCGTTATCGCGGTCGAAAGAGTCTCGTTCAACGGATATGGGCAACTATCCACCGACGTGGGTAACGAATCGTATTTAATTTTGTCGTGTATGGTGTGCCATTGAGTGCCTCCTACCAGCCAAAGCATGACTATCAGACCGAAACAACCGCCAAACAATACGCCTTTTGCGTTAGCCCAGGGTACTAATATTCCTAGCAGGAAAAGGCCCAAGGAAGGTCCGTCGGTCACACCACGCATACTCAGAGCTATTTGGAAGACAGGCCCTAGGCGCTCGACCAGAAACACCAGACCAACCGAAATCGCGCCGGTTATCACAACGATGCTCTAGGGAACGTCCATTAATTGAATTCCTTAAATTCTTAATTTTTTAAAGAAATCCTTCCCTTAGGAGAACATAAAAGATTATATTAATCGATCGCTTACCTTCATAATGTTGGCGGCCATAACTTCCTTTCTGGGACTATCTGGGATCAACGGATTTATAAAATCCTCGTAAATGGTGCCGGACATGGTATTTAAGCTAGCGCTCATAGTCGCAAGCGCAGCGCTCACCAGGCCCGCTAGAAATAATCCTGGAAGTCCTGGCAAATGTCCAGCAACATCCATTACGTAATACGGTAGAGTCTGATCGGTGCGGCTAATCGACTGCTCGAATAAAAAGATTTAGATATAATTTTCTACGATTAAGACATCACAATTTTATGTAACGTGATACTCGTTGAACCGTATAATTTGTGAATCATATGTCGTACCTTGGTCAGGAGAGGATCACAATCGTGATATTTGGCGAACATGATTAATCCGGTGAACACGGTAATTAGTTTGACGATTATCATTCCTATTGCAGTAATCGCAATGCTGCTGTATTTGCAATAAAGAAAAACTATTAAACGCATTGCTCCTAAATTCATAAGATTTTCTAAACCAGAGATGGCGAATCTTTTTATCTGATTTGCCATTATAGAGATTCGAAATTTAGTATGCCATTCTGCTACAGAATTAAGCGGAAAAAAATACAAAAGAGACCGCAATTTCATATTTTCTTACTCCAGTCTTACATCTTTGTTATGTGACAAAAATACAGTAATGATAATACAGCCTAACGTTTTTAATACACAAATGAACAAAATGAACGCAGCCAGAGAGTATAATTAAAAAATAAATGGATAAATGAATAAATGGAAAAATAATTTGGAGTTGCTATTTTACCGTATAGTTTTAGTTTTTTGAATTTTTTTCTCATAGCATATGCTATTTTAAACACTCTAGTGGCACGCATGTCGCGAATTAATCATTTCTCTAAAGAGATGAATAGCGCGGAATGACATGGAATAAAATTGGTAACTAAAAAAATTTGTCATGAGTTTTCTCATGACGATTATGGACAGATTATGGCAAATCGCATTTGGATAATGAAGTCGAAAAAGATTAACTTACTACTTAGCGTCGATTTCTCTAGGCACTGAGAGAAATCGTTGCACTGCGCCTGGATGAATACCGAGATGTCCGAGCCACGTTATCGTCATACCTATAGCCATACCCCAAAAAGTGTTTCTTGCCAACGGGCTCGGATTCATACTATAAAAAAAAAGATATTTTTAAGATTCAATATGATAATATAAATGATACGATAATATAAAACAAAATAAAAAGGAAATTGAGATTTTTGCTTGAGTTTTTATTTTACTCGAAGAAAATGAGACGGCCGCCTTCACCGGAAATCCTCCACACTTTCTCAATGCTGCCGACGGACAGTATCCCCAGTATAAGAACTGTAAAAAGCCCGCCGACGGTTATGGAAAATTGTACGGTATCCGACCATACTACTGCCTTTAGACCACCCTACATACGAAAATGAAAAATACAAGAAATATAAAATTTCAAAATTTAGAATTGTTCATGTACGCGAAGAGGTTCAGAATGTAGAGAACACAGATTTTGTAATCAAGTGTCAAACATAAATAATTCGTAACGAGTCGTAAAATATTCCTTTATTTCCTTTTTAAAACGCTGTCACTTGATAATGTTTATAATTATCGATGTTTATAATTATCGAAGTTAAGATTAATTTAAGTGATTTTTCATTAGTAATCGTAATTTCAAGAGTTGATCGCGCGAAGTAAGTACTTACAATGCTGGTATAAATGATGCACACGATACAGAGTATCGGCGTTATCGCGTGAACACTCAGGTTGCTGACTTGTGCAAAAGCAATGGCAGGTACGTAGATGACGATAGGCAGGTACATGAAGAGCGAAATGGTGAATAGCACCGAGGAGAGGATTCTGACCGATCTGGCGAATCTGACTTCCAGATATTCGAAGGTGCTAGTTAGCTGCAACTTGTAGAACACAGGCAGAAAGACGTAGGAGGTGATGACGGCGGTGAGAATCGACGTTATCACGCACGCGGCGTATTGAGTCCCGTGACGAAAGACTTCCGCGGGGATGCCCAGCAAGGTGATACCCGAGATATGACTAAACGGTAAATTTTCGCGTTAAATTATAATTTATATAATTTATATTCGAAAAGAATAAAGACAAAGAAAACTCTAAAAAATGTATGGATTAAGAAAAGACGGTTTCGTTAGTCGATTTTGATTTTAGACAGACTCGAATTGATTCGACTCTTTGATTCAAAGAAAATGAGGAGTCACTGACCTTGCTACGATGCTCATCGCGACAGGAAAACATCCCATTCGTTTACCACCTAGAAAATATTCCGTTGGGTTGTTCTGCTTGCTAAAGAAGCCAAAATACACGCCGATGAGAATGCTAACAAACAGCAAAAAGCAGAAGAGCGAGTAATCGAGCCATCCGAATATGAAGCGATTCAAGTTTTCCGTTTGGTTGAACGAAACGCCAGTAGCAAGAGGATTCTCCATCGTTTTTCTTTCGTTTGATCGAAAGTGAATCCCTCGCAACGATTTATCCTGTTTCTAAATACCGAGCCGGTAATGCGATACACGATAGATATAGCTCTTTCCGTCTCTTCGCGTCCGTTACCCCTGGCCCGTTTCATCTGGCGTAAGAAACGAGGAATAAAACGCAATCTGGGGTTGCTGACTTGCAAATATGTCGACATGTGTTATAATTCCACCGTGAGAGAGATTAATTTATAACCGGCACGTACGCGCATGTGCACGGGACTCGATGACGTAGCATCTTGTTTAATGATTTTGACATAATTGAGATTGGAATAAACGAAAGAAAGTGACGAGAGTGGTGAACCGCATTGAGAGATAAATTCACACGACAAGTTCACACGGTACGAGATCGAGAAGACGGATGCATCATCGAAGGATCAAAAGGATTTAGTTGTTATATCAATGTAGTTAAGTTTATTAAATTACAGCTAATAGTAATTTGCGTTTATCATTTCAATTTTAATACAGAATAGCGAAATAGTGCAAACTTGAAGTTTACAATCGTATATCAATATTCATGGTAATCGTGGCAATCGCGTATCGGTACTCGGGGTCCATTGTATTCATCGAGCGCAATCTCATCGATCTATCGCTCAATCGTATATCTTTCATTCAAGATCAGTATGTATAACGAAAGATGACGACCGATTTAATCGCGCCACTCTGCGCGAAAAATTCTTGTCGTGATCTTTTGATCTTTTACTTTATTTACACATATACAAGTTTACGATTTCCTACGGAAATTTTCAAGAGAAAACGAAATGTTTCGAAACGAAAGAATCTTAGAATGTTAAACACTGTGTGTGTGTGTGTGTGTGTGTGTGTGTGTGCGCGCGCGCGCGCGCGCGCGTGTGTGTGTGTGTATACACATCAAACCACTTTTTCAAACTCTGATAAAAAAGATAACATTTCGCTTGACAAAGATAACATTTCGCGATTACGCCTGATATCATCATATAAGGTAATAGCACAGTAAGATTCGCAGTAAAAGAAACCAAATAGAAATCCGATTCGTCAACGCTGAAGAGAATAATCCAAAGCGAAGACCGACGCTTTTTTGTAGTCGCGCTCGTAGAATGGAATTGTGGGGTGGAATCTGACTACATTGTCGTAGAGAAGCCTCCCACGTCGTATCGTCTCCCAACAGCAGAATGTATTGACCGTTCCAATTAATGGCTAGTTTGGCCCGCAATCCCAATGTCGAAGGCGCTTCGATAGCACGAGGAACACAATTTCTTGGCCAGACGGTAATTGACACCCCGAATCGATCGGCGTTACAACGAGTGGAGACTGCGATGTTTCCAGGAATCAAAATACTCTCGACAATGTGCAAATCCAGCTCTGTGACACCGGAAAGAGTGCTCCAGACGGGGAACGGTTTTCTAGTAGTAATCTCGTACGTCTGATGACCTCGCAACATCGCCGCGAATCTCAATTGTATTATGGATTGCTCGTCGCGCAAGAGCCGATGAATGCTATCGTTTAGCGATCTTCTCTGTCTTCGTACCTGTTTATTCGTTGTTTCTGTAACAGATGACTTTTCGTCTCTCAGTTTGCTCGTGACGTACAAGTTGTCTCGATCGAGATTTATGTTTCGGATAGTGCGAGTATCCGGCGAAGCGATCAGGCTTCTTTCGAACAAGGAAAAGTGGCCCTGGAAAGTCTCTCGATCGATCTCTTCGTGATGCCTCTGTCTTCCGGCTCGCTGGATATAACTTCCGGCCGCGGTTATCGCGTATAGAAACATCGTACATCGTGGATCATCGTAATAATCCCATCGACCGGTCCACAATTTATCTCCCGAGTGTATCTGAAATTGACGTTTGAGCCAGATGCCGCCCTCGGAGTTTTCGCATCTCTCGCTGTGCCAGTAACCGCCGATCAACGCGGGTAGAGCCGCTGCTTGGTGAAGAAGAGGCGGACTGAATTCGGTGCTTCGAGACACGCCGTTGCATATCGGGCAATCTCTCGCCTGCATTTAACGTAACGTCGGCATTAACAACGCTTTCATGCTCTCGCCCAAAATAAGAAGGGAGGGTGTGCGTCACGGCGTAGTCGGGCGGGGCCCGACTACAAACCAGTCGTGAAAATTCATAATTATTATTTTTGCGAAAAATATTACCTCAGTCAGGTATCGAACCTGGATCTCCTGTTTACCGGGCAGGCATCTTATCCTTTCGACACCACAGAGGCATGTGATGATATTTATCGCAATAATGTGTTTAGAACAACACGTCAACAATCAAATATTGCTTTTTTTACATATTGTGAAATACGTGAATGCAATATGTATTTATTAGTTTTGCGCGAAAGATATGCTTTTTTCATTCTCCAAAACAGAATTGCGTTCTGCAGAGTTCGCAAGCAAGAGTTTTATTTGAAACAGTATTAACAGCGTTATATTGCGATTCGAAATTGTAATGACAAATTCAAAAAAGTCCGGGCAAACGTACCGTGTCGGCGCGAACCATCGCTGTCGACTGCAACGAGGTCGGCTTATAATTCCAGCGAGAGTGAAGATTGGATGGGGAACTGGCTAGAAAAAGTTGAAATTGCGAAAGTGATCTGTGATATCGATTGCTGGGAGACAAGCTTTCCAACGACCTTTTCTGCACGCTGAGTAATCTCAATTCGGCAAATTCGATCCCAAAAAATTCTAAGCAGTTTGTACCGAGCCGTCTCTTCGTGTATGAGTGAGCCTGTAAGGAATTATAGATCGGACCTTGCCACTGCGGCGTCGCTGAACGTTGTCGCGACTGTTGCTCATAAATCACTTGAGGCACGTAAGAACGCCATCTCGGTTGGGGACCGCAAGTCAGATTCAATCTATGCCCAAACTTATGAGCGACCTGTGAAATAAATTTTCAGTTAATTAATTTTTAACATTTCTATTACTTGGACATCTTATGACAAATCGAGATTCTGTTCGTTTACTTTTTCTCGACGCTTGAGTAAACACTATCCATTAATTTTTAAATAGATACCTGTCGATTTAAAGGTATGATGCTAATAACGTCCACGTGAAATCTTGTTTCGGTAGCTCCAGAAACAATGGCCGACGGTCTTAGCAACTTGATAGAACCCCGAATTATGACAGTATGCGTCGCTATGCTGCATGACTCTTCGGCGTAGTGATAACGTAACAGAAAAAATGTGCCGTTCTTGAAAAATGTATATTTTCTGATTATATACTCCGCGCTAGCTCGCATTTCACATCTGCAACAAAAAGTCATGTCCATTCGATTTAAATCACTCATAATAATGAAATCTGTGGAAAATGAGGGATTACTCTTGAGACAGCCATGTGAAATACAATCTGGAAGGGCTATCGTCCACGATTGTCGCGCGATCTTCCTGTTCGATCTTCTTGATGGCCATTTCACATTGCGCCAACGAATTTACAGGCTCCGGATCTTTGGCTAAGGTTTGACTCATTCTCACTGTAAAACAAATAATTCGTTAATATGTGAGAAAGAGAGTAAGTGTGAGAAAGAGAAATGAATAGAGAGCGGAAATGTTTCTTTATGAAACGAGGTGAATAACCAAGAGATACCTCGATCGAAAACTCGCTGATACACACGAACACACCGGTAGACACGCCAGATAAAAGGAAGACCATCTGCCGTGTGAGTTTGCTCAAGCTTTAGGAACCAAACAGGCAATGGGACGAAAGACGAATGCGTCTCATTTATATTGCATTTGCAAATGCATTTTCCCATCGATAAAAGAAGAGTTTGAATCTTCTACCTGGATATTATGATCGATATTTTCCATCAATACGTCATAAGAAACCAATCGATTTTGCAATTCTCTTGCGGTTCTCTGTGAGATCTCCAAATTTGATAATTTTGGAATCCCTACTGTGAAGGATCGGATCACGTCACATGACAAAGATCGATTAGATTATTTTACTGACAACTGACGTGAAGAATCAGTCAGGTGTCTCAGATACATTCGTATCTTGTTCTCAAATCAAGATATGAATTCTTGATGCATTTGTTCAGGACTACATTCGTGATACAAAAGAGGAGAATAGGCAAACACGAATTTAGATGTAAATGTGAAACGTGCCATTATATATTTCTCTACTTTATCATACTGAATAATGTTTTTTAAAAGAAAAGAGAACTCTCTTTATTTTATGCCTATATTCTTTAACTAATAATAAAAAGGAACGACTAAAATGTTTAATTCAATACAATTCGATAACATTTAAATTTATTTCCAAGACGCGCGGCGCGTCAAGAGTAAACTTGTAATTACGTAATTAATATACATAGCCGATCAAAGATGTGATATAATTGTTAATATACTTTTCTACACTCACAATTAACAATATAATTGTTACAATACATACAATTATATTGTTAATTGTGAGAAAAGTGAGTCAAAGAAACAGTTTGGTATGTTCTCACAACTATTTAATATTCGATCGACGTATGGCATCTCTCTCTTCATCCTTTCTTCGTTCCTTTATGATTGTTGTAATTGATATTCCAGCTGTGCGTTGGAACTTGGACAGTGATTGATAATACAATAGTGAATCCGACAATGACAACCATGTACAAATGCAACGCAACCCTTCCCAATACGTAACAATTCAAACTTCTTTTTTTTTTTGTTAAAAGAATTCAGGAAATGGATAATTGAATTGAGAAATTTGTTGTTTCTCTATTAAATTTCATTTTAAATTAAAATTAAGTTTGAAAAAAAAGCGCGAAAAGAAGCTTTTATCTAAATGAAAATGTTTCATGTAGCAAACGTACAAAGTATTTCAACTGATATGACATATCACAAAACTATATAGTATTTGATTTTTATTTGACAAATATGATGTTGCTACTAATGTGAAGATTTCAAGTTCAATGTAAACATACGTGAAAATAATTGTGTGAAAATAATTTCATTAGAACTTGTTTCTCAAAATGAAATAATTTTAATCCATATTAAATCTAAAGCTATATTATCGCTGCATCTCTACTAGGCGCTTTTACTCTACTGGCGCACACGTGTGATTCATGTGCTTTTACCTCAAGCACATGTGCAATTTTCTCTTTTCGAAATATTCTTTTCCTTTCTCTACAATGTTTCTCTACAATTTTTTCTCTGTATATGTATAATAAAACAACATTTACACAAATCGCGATATTTGCAATAAATAGAGGCAAATTTCTATAAATTTGTTTCTAGAAAAAAATATTACAATCGTCGCGGGAGTTTATGACAAATCGAATCATTTAAGGCAGAAAAATCGGAAATACTCGGTACTCGTAGTTTATTATTGTTCGATTACAAGCTCATTCAAATTCGCGCTCAAACTTTTTTCTCTTTTTTTCTACCTCTCTCTCTCTCTCTCTCTCGATTGCATTTCACACGCACGTCACATTTGATGGATAAATACTTACTCATCGACAGAATAACGATGACGACAGGTAATGCCATTGTAATAATCATTTTTTTTTCGTCTTGCTATGTCAATCACCGTGCGACGATCGAGTCGAGAATTAAGAACCAAGAATTAAGAACCGAGAACATGCGTATTTGACCACACGCGCATCCTCGAAGGATTCGTTCTTTGACGACCTACCCCAAGATGCTTATATAGTCTCATCCCCACTTTGATGACTTCCATAGTTGGACTCGGCCGAGTCCCAATCATATCCAGCGGGGGACTGATGCGCACGAGGGAGAAATTAAATATATTCTCTCTTTTCCTATCTTTTCCCCTGCTTTCTCGAAATATTCTTCTCGAACCGAACCCTGCTGCGAGGATTTCATATGTTTCGTAGATTTGTACATTCTGACTCGATGGTAGATGGTAAAATACACTCAGATGGCCCACCGAGTTCCGCCTAGCGCCAGAATGAATGAAACTTTTGGGAATATCTATATAAATCGTGTCATTTGCGCCGGCTTGCGTCTTGGAACACAGGACGCGCATCAACGTTCGACGGCAGGTTGCCCCGATCGACTGAAAAAGATCAGCGAGAGCTGAGGAATACATAAACGTATATTCCACAGTGTTTTATATCGATATAGAGATATTGTATAATCCAACGGATGAATAGCGTCTAAGAATAAAGGAAAATTCGTATTAATGCGTATCGACTCTCGAATATGATTCATGTCATAAGAATTTACCTTGTACTGATTCAATTTTTGTAAAAGCCTCTTCATCCATACTTTTGGCATATAACAAGTGATGAACAACGGCGTAACAACGGATGAAACAAATTATTTAAATATTAAATTGACTTGCGATGCAAGAATACTCAATATAAGAGTTTATTTTTCAAGTATCATTTAATATTTCAATCATCATTTCATTTAAATTTGAAAGATGAGGACCGGACATAAAAATAGACATAGAAAACTTTAAACTCTTGCAACACTTCCTAACTAAAACTAAAAATTACTATATATCAAAGAGAAACAAGAGAGATGCCATGAATATATAATATAATCTCATCTCTGTTGATATCGGACGAATAAAAAATTAGTTAAATAGTTTGATTCGACCGATTGGTACGTATGTATATACAGTCCGTCAAATAAGAGTATGGTCGACTTTACTCATAGTTGGTAAAAGATATGGTTCTAAATCTTTCATAAGTCAATAGATAGAAACTTTGTCCACGATGCACTGTCAAGAAAAATTCAGTTGTCGTTGATTTCTTGTAAAAAAAAAAAACACGTTAAGGCAGGAAAATAACGATCCTAAAATCGCAACAAGCTCTGTACCGAGTGGAAGAAGCATCATTACATTGGGTTGGTCATCGCAGTCGCCCGATGCAAATCCTATCGAAAACGTGTGGGCATACATTAAGTATAAGCTTCGTGGAAAACGCATGTACACTTCGAAGAAATTATCTCGCGAGATTCATCAAATTTGAAGATCCTTGTCGCTAAAATACGCCATCAATTTGATCAAAAATGTTTCGGAGATGTCAAGCAATTATTAACGCCGGTGATGACTGGACGTATTATTATTAACATAATTGCATCTTTATCCTGATCGAGTACATATCAAATGCATATATGTATTTGAAAATTTTTTTAATAATTTTTTTATAAATTAATCCGATCACGCTCTTACTGTAGGTGCAAGCATGCGATAGAAAAGTCGTTTGAAAATTCATAATGTTTGAAAAAGCAAAAGAACGAGAGAATGTGAATTGCAAGTCGTCAGTCGCGAGCTGCGGTCAATTGGCAGATTACACATATGAATTAAAATGAAATTAAGCGAAACGTTGCGTATTCCATAGAGAAACTTCGCGTTTCATGGTTTCGACACAACAAATCGTTCCACTGCGCAATATAACAGGGAGGTACGAGAATAAAACATCCCGTTTTCTTATGCATTGTTTGCGCTGACTGTTTTTCCGATTTTTATATTTCTTTATCGACCGTTCACGGCACGCACCAGGCAACGCGCGCAGGCATGCACAGGGATCATCGACACAATTGAGTCGTTTGCAGTCGTCTCGAGATGGCCGTGAAGATTTACAATCAGATACAATCAGGTACGATAGATGGTCAGACATCTGCACAAAACTCGCATCTGCTTTCTGCAAAATCTGCAATTACTAACAATCAACGCTGAACGTTTCATAATTCGATATTTTGCCAAATATATACACACATCGTGTGCCTATCCTCGCGAGTTTTCCTTCTTTAATCAATTTTTGTCTTTTTGCGCTATCTTTTATTTATTCTTCATTTTCAGTGGAAAAGATAAAAATAAAATTGAAGCAGTTTAAGACAATCTTTCCTTTTCTCTCTTTTGGTTTCGACACAAGCCATGATGTATGGATCTCATGTACACCGATGTATGCACAGGCACACGTAAGGCCGGTATTCGTAGTCCAGTCTTGTATTTAAGAACGTCTTAAGTAAGCTTATACGATCACCTTATTGGTTGAAATGTAATTTTAAGACGATCTTAAATATAAGAACTAACTATATAAATATCGTCCGTACATACGTTATACATACATGTACATATATATAAAATGATACAGAATTTTTCTACCCAGTTTTATCAGCTCTACCTGCACACAGAGGTGATATAACCGATCCCGGACACCCTGTATATATATATATATATATATATATAATATAAT